AAATAAAGGTAATCCAATTCAAATTTGGTCTTCGAGGTATTGAAATCATCATTCAAGTTCATCATTTCTTCCACTTCCTTCTCTTATCTTCAAGCCCCACACGCCTGCCCATCTCCCCCTCTCAACTCCAAATCGTCACATCGTAGACCGCAATAAGTCGAAAATTGAACCCCAAATTATTCCGGCTCGTGGAGCATTTTGAAAACAGGAATCAGATCTTCCATAGTGATGCTTGGGCAGTAAGTCGTTGATGTTAGTTACGACTTTGCTTACCCAGTCCAGCTGAACTGTTATTGCCAATCCCTCGGGTTAGCAACAGATTAACCTTAGGCTAGGAGAGCAATTTGATAGGAAGGTATTAACTGGAATATCATCGGCTGCTCAAGGTATGAATACCAAGGGGTAATACTCTGACCTAGACCGAATCAACAACATTTTCTACCACTTTCGACAAAAACAGCTGTAGCGAACTAAAGGATAGAGGTGGAGGGAGGTCGTCAACGTTAACCCCGACACTGTATTGACCCCTCCATGAAATGAAGGAGGCCAGAGCTCATCGTCACATCACAGGCCCAGCGAGGCGACATTGGGTTTCCTGCAGCTGCTTTGATTCAGCTTTGGAGGGGATTGGGAATGAAGAGGGGAACCGATGAGTACTCATTAGTCTTCTTCAAATCGAAGCATCTTCTAGGTACAGCGAATGACGACAACACCGACAAACTGACAAACTGTAATGATCCTAAGCTGAAGCAAATTATTCTCGAGGTACATTTGTTCATTCGAAAAATTTCTACCGTAAAACTAGGTAGGACAAAGACGAAATATATTTTCAGAATATCCAAAAAGATGCTCCAACGTCTAAACGAGCAATTCAAAAAGCTGCCGAATTGGAATTCGGTGGAACATTTGACGTTGTCTGCAGTCCTTGTGAATTTTCATTCGTGATTAGTTCGCAAAAGTATTGTGATGGCATCAAGGATGAGGTACCGGTTTTTTTTAGAATTTAGAAAGTTTAATGGTAGTCTGAGATTGATCTCACCTTTTTTTACATCAAATCTTTCACATCCGTGTTGAAGAATAGCTAGCAGAACTTGCAGTAAAGGAAGGAATGGTCGTGGCTGATTGACCAAATATGTAGGGTCCATCTCCAAAAACTCGACCCTGACATAGAAGCACACGGTGCTGATCTGAAATGCATATCCTCCCAGGGCAAATGTCATCTCCCTCCACAGTCGAGTCTGCTAAATTTAAACCGACCTAGAACTTATTGGTTCTGCTTAATAGTAGAGAGCAGGACCTTCCCAGTCACTGTTGTATCGGTGTGTGCCATTTCGAGAACCCTCTACTTCAGTTCCAGCCTAGGAGGACCTCTAAAACAAAGAAATACCATTTTTCACCAAAAGACGTCTTTAGTTGCTAAAAAGGAGCTGATGTATTTGAAGCTATTTCCCAAACTAGCGGTCTTTTAGAAGCTTGAAGATTCTGGGAATGGAGTCGACAATCTGGTGCCGACCAGGGGCAATGCTGTATGGGTTATGGTTCATTACATTATATAATGATTATTAATAAGCATTATAAGCAGAGACATTTGCTCTGTGCTCGCGAACCTCTACACCTACTGGGTGACAGGGCTTGCCTACTCTAGCCAAGCCTTCCGTACTTAAGGGTCGATTGATCGGATAGAGCTCGAAAAAAGGGGCATAGCGCAATACAATACGTGAGATACTATATGACTAACACACGTACTCCAGATCTCTCAGTTCTGAAGGATGGACAAGCACATAGCTCAGTTTGGGAGA